TGAGTTCGAATATATGGAAATAAGTTTAGATTTTTGAGTTTTTTCAACAGGAATAATAATTAATTATAGTAATAATTTTAATTGTTTGGAGAGCAATTCAATTACATTGCCGAAAATATTTCAAAAAAAGGTATTCATAATCAACAATAACAAATAAAATCTTTCGAACTGATTTAACATCAATAAATGAAAGAGTTCAACATGTCAATCTTATGCTTTTCTAGCGATGATAACTATCGGACTTATTCTATTTCCAATACATATGTATACAAGTAATATCTTGACACTGTTTTATTTTTGACAAAGTTATACTTGTTAAAATTATTGGATCAATTTTTTTTTCTTCTTCATTTACATTCAACACTTTGATCGTATTTCAATTTAGCTTTAAAACGTTCAATTGTCACAATTAACTCAAAAAAAAGAACGTGAATTTGGAAAACAAACAAATTTCTAGTCACATTCATTTACATACTTCTCATTCAATAAAATCAATTACTCTTATTTCATGTAATTATTTCGATGACGAAGTTCAATAACAATTTATTGTTCTCTCAATACGAATCAATATTCCTCATTTATGATTTGATTTTCGATTTTTTACGAAAATATATGCATAAGTTGGTGAGCATACTTTTATTCGTAACAATGTGTTCATTAAAAACTTATTTCGAACTAGAATTTTCTTTCATTCATTTCTCTCCATTGTAATACCTTTTATCTATATAAAAATTAATCCGTTTTCCTTCAATGTTTTATTGTAGCAATCATTTACAAATCAAAATATGTGTGTATGAGGAAAATAGTCTTTTACATGTTTAGTAATTTCACATGCACGCCATAGATGTAAAGAACGCAGTTTTGCACAATTAATTCGTGTTGTATTTCTTGTGAAATTTTCAGTAACCATTTTTATTGCTTCATAATAGACAGAAAGATGAACATCATTTGGCAAACACATTTCCGTATCAACTAGAAATTGTTCGACGTAATCATCGTGAGCTCTAACAAGATTGAGACCAGTCAGATGAGGATATTTAATAATTGATGAATCTTGATTGTCATTCTTTGATTTTCTATATAATTTATTCTTTTGCGGTTTATCATTAATTACAGTTAATTCTTTCATGAATGGAAATGATTTCTCAATTCGAAGAAAAAATTCATGTTCAAATGGATATTCATCATATAATGATACTTTATGAACATATTTAAATAATCCACCCGGAAAATTATTTGAAATATTATCATAATATTTCATTTTATATGGATATGAATAAATATGACAGTAACGAAATTGTTCTTCTTGAAAAAGATCAACACAAGAAATAATTTGATTATCTTTAAAATCTTTGAATGTATATTGAATATCTTCATTTGAAGGTAAATTAATTTTATTAGAAATATGATTGAATAAACGAATATTAAATGTAAGTTTATTTAATCGTGGCATATAATTGATAATATTTTCTTTTAAATCATTCCCATTAATAAATCCTTTATGACGATCTACCTTAAGATGTAAATCAAGTTTTTCTAAGTTCAACATTCGATGTAGAAATGGTACAATTAATTCATCATAAACAAGTGTACGCATATCAGAATATAGCGAGAAACACTTTAGATTAGATAATTTTTCCTAGAAAAGAGAATAATATTCAATTTATTAAGACAAATTTGATATTAATCAGAAACAATCTACCCCACTATTAATTTTTGAACGGCTGTATTTAATATGATAGATATTAACATATAATGTATGTAGTTGATTGAAACGTCCATCAAGTAAACAAAGCAAATCACTGAAATAATCCACACAAATATGTAATTCTAACAAATTTAAAGAAGTAATAGTTGGAAATGGCATGTCAAATGAAATTCGTTGATACCAAATTGAAGATGGCCCGAAATTTAAATACTGTAAATTGGTGAACATAGTAAAGATATGTGTAAATATAATTTTATTGATATCTGTTGTCAAAATTTGTTTTTTATCCTGACTAATATCGATAACTAATGATGATATTTGACTTTTGACTATACAGGTAAAAGCAATATCATCTAAATAAAAAAAAATGTCTTGAGAAACAAACTAATTATTTTCAATATTGATTTGTTCAATTTATTTCAAACTAATAATATAACATGCAAATTCATACTTAGATTCCTGAATAATTTTCTTCACTATATTATAAACACAATGAAACGAATTATAATCAATTTTGATGTGCTTATCATTTATTCAG